TGTGTGTGTGTGTGTGTGTGTGTGTGTGTGTATATATACTCCTGATGAGTGGGTGAAACTCGATGAAACAGTTTGTCACAGCCCCTTGTTTGTTGACAATTTTCTCTTCTCCTCTCTGCATACGGTTTACCGGACAACTCTGTTTGAAGATATCGGGGCTCGAGTTCTCGTTCGACAAGGTTCGTTCAATTCCGCTTCCACCAGGGCTGGCTCAGCCCTGGTGCCTATCACTGCTGTTCGGTCCAAGTTGCCTGCTCGTGGGTAGGCCGATGGTCTTGAGTGCTGGTCACACTAAGGTAGGATAGTGGGATAGTGGGTGCGCTAGGAGTATTGACGCGAGGATGGGTTGGGATGGGGTCTCATAAGGGAAACCCACGGCTCACAGTTCCAGGCGATCACTGTGTACTCACTGACTGACCTCTACAACACCCTGGACTTAAAAAAAACAAACAATATAGGGACTCGCCACACAATGGTCGAAACGTTAACACTATTTTTTTTTTTTTCTATTTTTTCTTTTTTTATATTTGGAAAGTGTAAATCTTTATTGCATCAAAAGGGGCGAGGCCGGGGACCTCACAATTTCACCCGGAGTTATCTTGGCAGCCTCGGCCAGCTTAGCTTATGAGCCAAGCTCTGTTCCCTATCGAGCTGCGCTAGATATGTCCTAAGCTACCTGGAAACCAGGTCCAGTGTCACATTCAGAACCCAAAATACTTTCCAAAAAAAATTCTCACTTGAAGCACTGAAAAAGGGCCTCGCTCCACTACAGCAACTCTCGAAAGTGCAAAAAGAATGGGAAGGAAGTATCCTTTGTGAAGGAGAGGACCATACAGACAACAAAGCAACTAACAGAAGTAAGAGTATGGGAAAATGACGGCAAGGGCACCCACCGAGGAACACTGTTAAGGGGGGACGCCGAGTCTTTCAGGGTAGATCCGACCCTCCATGGATGGAAATTGAGGGGTAGGAAGGAAACTCCTCTATACGCCTATGAGACCAGAACGGGAGTAGCAGTATGCTGCCTGAAAAAAGCAAGGCCAGAGGACGTGGCGGCACGAAGATTCCGGAAGGATCGAGGTGAGATGGAGAAAGCTCCGGATTTGCCACTCATTTGGAAAATACTGAGGAAGATTCCATCTCAAAAACAGGCCAGCCTGATGTGGGCACAATCTATGCAAGTAACACCCTCGACAATGTGGTTGCACACTAGAGGTACGGAATTGAGTACTACATGCAAATGATGCAACTGGGGATGGGCATCCACCGAGCATCTATGGCTACTATGTCCCCTAGCAGACGAGCTATGGATGTGGTGGAAATCATTCTGGGACTCTTAGGTGGGACCCGGATGGGAATGGACTGATAACTGGATCTCATGTGGAATCCCACCTAAAAAGGCAAAGTTACAAGATGACTGGGGACATGCAGCCCTGACATGCAGAGGAATACTGATGGAAGTGTTGTGGAAGGCTCGAAACGCTCAGGTATTCGGAGAAGAAAGGGTTGACATCCATCAGCGGAACGCAATGGCGAAGTCGTCTCTCAGATTGACTATTTTAGCCGAGTGGAAGTAGGCTAGACAAAGGACAGGCCAAGGTAGGTACTGGTTTTGCAAGACATGGGCACTTAAAGGCGTCTTGTGACGCCCAACCTCACCCCCAGCGCGACTTCCTGATCGGAGTGGGGTGTGGGCCGGGAAGTGCGAAAAGGGGTGTGCCAAGGATTTTTGGGAAAGTGGGGGTGGAGTCCCAGGTCAGAACTGAGATCTCCTGTGGCAAAGTTTTCGGGGGCACGGGTGCAATTTGGTTTGAGAGGATGGACCGCTTCCGATCATAAGGCAGATGGCATGCGCAGGTTGTTCAAGGCCGTCCGCTTCGTCTGTTTTGGGGGCGTCGGTTCAGGGCCAGGTCTGCCCTGAAGGGCTGTGATCCCGATGAGTCGGGCCTTTGGGGGCAGCCACGTGGCGGTTGTCGTCGCGTATTCGGGTTAGGCCCTCTGGTTTCCGGGGCTCTATGATTGTCGCATCGCCGACAATTCCCGCAGGGCATGCTGGGCCAATATGTGGCTATGGCGTTCCACGGGACGACCTTGAGTTGATGATACGGGAGAAGGAGACGGAAGGGAGGGAAGTTGATGGAGATAACGACAAAACCGGGGGAAATAAAGTAGTGTGTGTGGTCAAAAGTGGGGAAATCCGGGCACCGCGGGTCGCTGGTTGTGGCACAATGGAACTCCCTAGGACACAGTTGGTTCTCGGTTAAACAGGGGAACCTCTGTCGGAGGCACTCTTCTATCCAAGGGGTGAAGTACTCCGGATCCCACGACGAGTCTGAGTCTCTCGAGCGCGTCATCTTGGCATGGTGGAGCCGCGGAACCCCTTCAGCGCGTGGTTGCTCAGCTGGGGAATTTTCGAGTCCGGCGTTCAGGAATTCCGTGTTGGTCCCGATATTCGACGATTGCGATCACTGCGTGTGAGTACGTGTAAACTGCGCAAATTGGATCGCACTTACACGTGTTCACACGGGACGCTCGCTTCGTCGTGGCCGCAGAATGGCCACAGAACACATCCAATCAATCAATATCCNCGCAAATTGGATCGCACTTACACGTGTTCACACGGGACGCTCGCTTCGTCGTGGCCGCAGAATGGCCACAGAACACATCCAATCAATCAATATCCTCGCAATCGTTAACCCTTTTCATGTGTGTGTGGTTACGAATCGACGCGCGTGGACACGTGTAAGTGCGCAGGTCAGATCGCGCTTACATGCATCTCCGCGAGGTGTTCGCTGGTTTCTGGGCGAACAACTGCCCGATCATCTAATCATCCCCTAACTCACACGCAATCCTCCCTGAATATGCAAAGTGCTACTACGCATTCACAGTACAGCGGTAGATCAAAAGGGCAGATAACAAAAGTGAGGCTTTCGCGAATTTTCCTACTATGCTCATGAGGGTATCAAGACAACAAGCAAGGGCAAATATTAGGCATAAGGAAAACAAAAACAGACATAACATCCATTCATCCATTCATTCAGCATAACACACCATATCCGAGATTGAAATCACAAAAACGAGTGTGGGCCGGAACCAAGTCAAGATGCCAAAAACGAAAACGGGCAAATCGCCCTGATCCAAAATCAAAATTTATATACACTAGCAGAGGGGGAGAAAAGACAACAGAAACAGCAAATCCGCGTCCATCATCCTTAGCTCCCTCTTCCTCTCTCTCTCTCTCTCCGATGCGGACAGTCCGTCGTCGCGCACCAACCCACAAAGCCGTCACCCCGCTTAGTCCTCCCGCACCCGTCAGGTTCGCCCGCGCCCACAGTCCGTCGTGGCCCTCGTCAACCCCGCGCGTTTGGCACCAGCTCATCGGGTCGCCCGATTCCCATTTCAACTCACCTCTTACTTCGCTCGTGAGCCGACCCTCACTGATCGCGCTACCCCGAGCTTCCACTTAGCTGGTTAAGAGAGCTAACTAATCGCGCAGCCGGAATTTATAGCGTGCAATCCGGTGGAAACGAAGGAAGCGATTACCACTATGGGGGAGGGAAGCGAGATAGTCTGAGTATAGGGTGGTGAAGGTGCGGAAGAGTGCCGAGCGGAAATGGTCGTAGTTTTTGCATGCGGGGATAGTCCCCGTAATCATGCATTAAACTTTGACCATAGTGTGGCCTCGCTAAGCGGCGCTCAGAAGAAGGATATGGAGGTAGAAGTCGGGGAGGGCGCATCGGGTCGAGGGGTGGGGATGGATTGTGACAATAAGACGGGTGGTATAGAAGAAGCGGAAGGTGTCGAAGGGGAACGGATTGCGGGAGAAAACAACGCGGGTAGTAGCCTGGCGGAGGGTGAGATGGTCAAGGGGACGGCGGGATAACGACCGGGGACGAAGCCCGATGCCCTGCATCAGTACGGGTTCGAACTGGTGGACGGTCGGTGGTGGAGGGGGAGGGGGATCGGCTTCATCGTCGGCTTGCTAATGCGGCCGAAGTCTCGGCAGCTGGGTCCCCATCCTCGGGCTTGGGCGGCTCTGGATCTCGGGCTGGATCGTCGGCAACCTGTCGATTGGCTCTGTTGGCGAATTTCAGCTGTCATTTTCCGGCCGCGATCTCTTCTCTCTTGCGTGCCGCCTCAGGGTCTTCCGCGTGTGCGCCCGCTTACTCTCCTTCCTCCGCGGAGATCTCCCACTCCGACTCCTCCAATTCTAGCTCCTCCTCTTCGTCGTCTTGTTCTTCTTCTTCCTCCTCACTTTGCTCCCCTTCGCTGTGCTCACTGTAACTCCCCTCTTCTGGAGTTTCTTCCCCGACGTCCCCCTCCTCTTCTTCTTCTTCTTCAACCGCTATTGCCTCATCTTCCGTGGCCGTTCGATCTCGAAAGTAGGCGGGATCGATGATCTCTCGTGGGCTCAGATAGTCTCGCTGTGATGGCGGATTGCAGTCGTTTCCCGGTTCCTCCAGGCACGCTGACCACTGAAGATACGGTATCAAGGCCCGCGTGAGAACGTGCGGGACCGGGCTCTCGTCACTTTGTGAGACAATCTCCAAGGGAAGATCGTCGGCCAATTGCGCGAGTGGGGCTGTAAGTTCTAGGACGATTGGCTGGCGATGACTAGGCCGCACCGATCCAAACAGGAATCCGAGAAGATCGCCCTCCACATCCGTTCGCCAGGCTTGGATAATCAGCCACTCTAGGTACTCGCTCCACTCGCGATGGTCTTCGTCCCTTGTCCACATGATCCGCACCCCGACCAGGCACACCGAAAGCTCGACAACTGCCATTTCGCCAAAACGGACATTTTTTTTTTTTAACGCAATTGAAACCGAGTTTTTTGGCGGAAAACTCGTCAAAATTTGTTGTTCCTCAGGGTCCGGCGTTTGTAAAACGCTGGACCCCCTGGCTGTACATGGACCTAGCTTGAGACTAGGCACCTCCAGGTAGTCCTGCCTAGAGGGGCCTGGTCTCAAGCTAGGTCCATGTACAGCCAGGGGGTCCACCGTTTGTAAAACGCTGGACCGTCAGGAACAGCAAATTTTGACGAGTTTTCGGCCAAAAAACTCCGTTTCAATTTCGTTCAAAAAATAAAAAATGTCCATTTTGACGAAATGGTCGTTCGACGAAGTGCTCGCACCAGAGTCTCCACTGCCCAGGATCGAGAAGGGGGACTGCGAGCGGCTCCAAGCAAAAAGAGAAACGAGGGTGGAGACTGGATTGCCAGAAGGTGGGAAAGAGAGATGGGAGGGCAAAAGTAGAGAGTTGGGAGCGGTGCATCGGGGAGGCAGGAAGGGGATGAGTTCTGGCAGCACCACCGCCGGCTCGTGCTGCAATGCTCTGATCCCTCCGAGCTTGACGCCGTCCGTGGGGAAAAGATTATCCCTCGACGCGTAAGAGAGCGGTTCCACTCCGTGGCCAGTTGTTGCGCCCACTTCCTCAGTGACGTCCGGATGGCGGTATGCCGGAGCGCATTGACGGTGCTGATATCGCCGTTGAAGCCGACGACCGTGGACACGTGGCTAATCCTCGGAGCTGATCGCCGATGGACAGCCACCGCTTCTGCCAGTACCACCGCCTGAGGACTGCCTGCGAATCGAAACTCAGCGGCTGCATACACTCCCGAAGTGCTGAAAAAAAGCGCCAGTCGCAGAAGATCCTGGTTGGGTCGTGGATGACACACATGCCGAATCGCCGAGATGTAAACGCGTGGCGTTAAGAGATGGTCACCGAGGGCTTGCTCCATGAGAAAGCTCATGGCGATGGTGGCGGGGACGGGGTGTCTGAGAAAGAACGAGATGAAGAAGGATAGACAGGTAAGCAGTCACCGTTCTCTTCTTCAGCGGAGGAGGAGTCGGATGAAGGCGAAGATGGGGAAGAAGGAAGGGGACGTAGATAGGTTACGTGGCGGATGATCGGTCGAGCCGATCGGCTGCCGAAGACCTCAGGCGTAAGCCGCACGGTGTTCACGCCATTTGGTCCGAACTCAATCACGCGAAATCGCCCGAAGAATCGTGGCGCTAGCTTACCCCGACGAGCACATTTCCTCACCTGCACGCTGTCCCCCAGTTTGTACTGGGGCCGGGGACCTGCGTTCCCGTTTCGGGCCTCGTAGCTTCGGACTTGTCAGTCGTGGGTCAACTCGGTCATTTTCTGGCGTTTTCGGGCTAGCCTGGGGAGGGACTGTTCCATTAGTTCTGAATGTCGCTTGGCCTTGTCCCGAACCGTGGCCCTTGTGGGCCGTCGGTTCAGCGTTGACTCATCGGGGAGGCTCGGTATCGAAATACAAGCGACGCTATTAGTCCTTAATTGGAAGGGGCTCAGGCCCGTCGATTCGTGGGGCGTTCCACGATGGACCTCCAGGATGTGGTCGACGATATCGGGTCAAGGCCTCGGATCCCGTGCCGCGATGTTTCGTCGCAGTGCTGTCTTTATCACCCTATTTGCGTTTTCTACCAGCCTGTTGGATTGTGACATGTGGGGCACGGTATTCCGCACAGCGACACCGTGTATGACCAGATTCTTCAACACTTCCCCTCTGAATTCCGCCCCATTATCGGTCAGGATCTCTTTTGTGTCCTAGTGCATCCCGTGAAAACGGTTAACATACCGCGCGATTTCGGCGGCTTGCCTCGTGCGACATGGGTAGGCCTCGATTTATTTCGAAAAATGGTCGACAAATACCAACAGGACTGAATATTCACAGCTATTAGGACCAAGGGGTACCACAATATCGGTAGTATTCATGCTAACCCTTTGAAAAAGCCGCTCAACTACCGTTGGTATTATCGATCTTGGTGGCTGAATTGACGCCTTATCAGCAACGCAAACTTGACAGTTTGCGACGATGAATTTCACATCATCCCGAATATTGGACCAGTACCATTCATTTTTGTCAATTGTCACCTCCGTAATCCGTACGGCAAAATGAGTCGTCGTTTCCTCGTGTGTTGTCTTCACCCAGTCATACCTCATGAACGGATGCGGTACAACCATCCAAATCCCACTGCCGTCCGTTTTTTGCTTTTCCAGCCTACCCTCGACCCATCGATAATCTCGAGCCCTTTCATTAGCCCTCTTCCGATCTTCCTTGGTGAAATCCTGGAGGGGGTTACCCACTAAGGTAGCCATCAAAGCGATATCGGTCCATATTTCGGCCCTTATAAACTTTCGGGTCTTCTCCAATCCTTCTGACGTGGCGTCCAAAAAGCGAGCTTCGATCGGGATCTTGTCAACCCGACACAAGGGGCACAGCCACGGCTTACTGTCATTTTTGTATTGGATGCACGAGCCATGGGCTCGTGAGACGCACTGTCGACAATCTACCCATTCCGCATAGCTTTCCCCGTTAGGACGCATGGAGACCGAATACACGCGAGAAATGGCTTCGCAAAAATAACAAAATTTATCAGGCAGGGAAAGAAGAGATGCGGAGGAGAGGGGAGAAAGAGGGGTTACGGGATTACCTCCGTCACCCATTGCCACCGGCCGGCTTCTTGCCACGTGGGAGAACTGCCACTTGTCTGTACTTAGGCCTGTTCGCCGACTCCGGTTCTTTCCACATAATGATTTCCTCGCCCTTAGGCACTTTAGCGGGTCGATGCAGACGTGTCAGTCCGTCCGCGTTCCCGTGTCTCTCTTTCTTTCGATGGATGATGTCGAACTCGTACTCTTGCAGGCGCACTGCCCAACGCCCAATCATGCCGGTGTAATTAGTGAGCTTCTTCAAAGCCAGCAGAGGCTCATGATCCGTCACGAGGCGGAACTTCTGTCCGTAGAGATACGGATGGAAGTGCTGGATTCCCCAGACTACTGCATAGCATTCGCCTTGAGGTGCTGAATCATTCCTTCGTTCGTCCGGCACTGTTCGTGACGCGTACTCGATGACGTGTTCGCGACCATTGTTCCCCTTCTGTGCTAAAATGGCGGAGATCGCTTCTGGTCGCCAGTCCGTTATAAGAATAAATTGCTTGGTAGGGTCCGGCCAGATCGAAATTGGTGCAGTGGTTAGGGCCTCCTTGAGTGCATCAAAGGTTTGCCCATACTTAGAGTTTCACTGCAGAGGCTGGTCCTTTCGAAGTAGGTTCGTGAGAGGCCGAGCAATCGCCGCAAACCCTTTGATAAAACGGCGGTAGTACGACGCCAGACCTAAGAAGGCTCGAACCTGCGTCAGTGACGTGGGAACTGGGGCTTCTTTTACGGCCGCAACTTTCCAGGAATCCAGTCGCAGCCCTCCACGTGTCACTACGTACCCCAAGAACGAAATTTTCGAGAGGAAAAATTCGCTCTTCTCAAGTGCAATCTTGAATCCAGCATCCCTTAGCGCTTCCAATGTCCATTCGATGTGTTGTGCATGTCTGTGATAGGTCTCCGAGTAAACAAGGATATCATCCATTTACACGATCACGCTGAAGTTGATCATTCCCTGAGTCAGCCGTGTCTTGTTGACAAAGTTCTGGAACGTCACGTTCATTGCTTGTTGAAACGTGGCAGGCGCGTTACAAATTCTCATTGGACATGGAACCCACTGCCATGTGCCTTCGAACAATACGAAGGCCGTCTTCGGCCGATCTTCCTCCTTAACCAGGATGTGATGGAAGCCATGTCGAATATCAAACTTGGCAAAATAATTAACACACCCAATCGCATCCAGCAAATCATCAATCCGGGGAGGGGGTACACATCTTTGATCGTGATATCATTCAACTTACGATAATCAACGCATATGCGAATGGATCCGTTCTTTTTAGGTACTAATACTACTGGAAATGACCATGGTCCAGTGGCAGGTTCGATCCAACCACTTGCTTCGAATTCCCGAATTCGTTCGAGAGCCTTTTTCCGTTCTATCAGGGAATACCGGTAAGGCTTGCAGTGAATCGGGGAATGATTTCCCGTTTGAATTTCGTTTTGAATGAACAACGACAAGCCGATGTCAGTGTCCGTTACGCTAATTGCTCCCTGATATTCCGTCAGAATGTCCGCAGTCAAACGATGAATCTCATCAGGTACGTACTGTGGAACGTGTAATTCGAAAAGTTGATCCCAGATCCATACTGCTTCGTGTGCGCTTGTTTCGCCACATCAGGTGGTGGCGCAAAGATAAACGAATGGTCCGATTGCCAGGAGAACACTGTGGCCATCATCTGGGCGTCTTCCTCCCGGATGGCCACGTGTCCTTCCGGGGTGATTCCATTGTAGATGTCTCACCATGGTACGGTTTTAGTCACGATCTTGACTCCGAGTTCATCTGATTCAGCTTCGAAACGCTCAGGGGGTTCCAAAAAACTGGCTTCCGCTCCCAGGCGTAGCAGTCGTACTTCTTTTGTGGGTGTCAACAGGGACTTCAGGAGATCTGTGGTATCGCAGTAGTGCTTTTTGTCGTTATATCGGGCGAGGAGAGGGGAGATTTCTTCGTACAGGGTTTGAGGGGGTTCCAAAGAATCGACCATCCTTGAAATTTGTACGAGGGGTTTACCCAAAATCCTCGCTTTGGTCCTTTGTATATTCTGACTGGTTAGATGCATCGTTCTTGCGATCGTTCTAAGCGGCGGGTAATAAATGCGCTATCGTGCTAGTTTTAGAATTTTCGGATAATTTTCGTCAATGCTATCTGCATCCTTCGATGATGGTTCATCGTCTGCGGAGTTTTCCTAGGTGATCATGCGAAGAGTTCCCGCTATTATCGGAGAAACTCGTGGGACTGCGTTGATAGTAGTACGAAGAGTAGGCCTCATAGGTACAGCATAGGGTTTTCCTCCTGTATTTCGGAGGATAATTTATCGTCGCTCGAAATCCAAGTTTGCTCGTAACGCGACAAGAGCGGGAAGGCCGAAAAGGACGTCGTAGGTGTTTACGTCTAATACCACGACATCTCCTAGC